CGAATATATATTTGTTTCTGGGTGTGTGATTGTATGTATTCCTGTTGTTTGTGTGTTTATCGTATAACTTCGTATAATGTATGCTATAAAGAGTTATTACAATATATATATATATAGTAATAACTTTGTATAGCATACATTATACAAAGTTATACGAATATATATTTGTTTCTGGGGGTGTGATTGTATGTATTCCTGTTGTTTGTGTGTTTATCGTATAACTTCGTATAATGTATGCTATACGAAGTTATTACGTGTGTGTGTGTGTGTATTTATATATATATATATGAGAACACACATACACACAAATATGCATGTTTATCCATATATTTATTTGTTTATTTATTCCCTTATCAGTCTTGTTTATTTATCACCAGAATTAGGCTAAAACAATGTTAGGGTATCATTTATAGCTGACAGACGTGTACGATTGAAATATCTTACCGTCTCACTCAAAGAGAACAATTTAACCACAAAAAGTCATGATAGTAATATGTCTTCATTAAGCTGCGAGTGCTCTTTAATTGAACAGTTATGTCACCACTGAGTGTGACGCTCAACTACGAGATATTTGCATGAAGCAGAGACTTGTAAACAAAGTAGACGAGGAAGGAGGGAAGGATGGAGAGCGTGGGGCTTACCTGGGCGGTTCTTCTGCAGGCCGAAGAGACTGCTCAAGCCACTAAGAGCTGACGACGCGGTTGAGCTGTGCTGCTGCTGCTGTGGCTGCTGCTGCTGCTGCTGCTGCGGGTTCTGCTGTTGTCTGGTCTGCATTTGTGGGCCGTGGATGAGGCTGGAAATGTTTTTGCTGTCGTGCGCACCCATCGCGTTCTGCATCTGGTTCATCTGGTTCATCTGACCCACGTCCGTCATCTGGTTCGGCTGGTTCGACATGTGCTGGTTCGGCAAGGTGCCCCCGGGCTGGATGTGGTTGCCCATCTGCGTGCCCGGGAGGTTGCCCGCGCCGAACTGACCCTGCATCTGCATGCCCATCTGCCCCTGCATCTGCGAGCCCTGCATCTGGGCGCCCTGGTTCTTGTTGCCGAACATGTTGTTGGCCTGAAGTTGATTGTTCTGCATCTGATTTTGTAAGAATGCTCCCTGCTGCGCGTTGAGTGCGGGGTCCAGGGCGAGGTTGCCCTGAGCGTTCATGTTGTTTTGTAGCGAACTCTGGGAGCTGATTTGGGCGTTGGTCTGGTTGCTGACGGCGTTGCTGATGTGGCTGTTGGGTTGGGTGCTCACGATGTTGCTCATGTTCGTGTTCATCTGGCTGTTCATGAGACCCTGCTGCTGCGCGCCCGCGCCGAAGGGCTTGTTGGCCGCCAGCGGGTCGTGGGCGCTCGTGGTGACGGTGCTCATGCCGGGCGTCACGCTGCTGGTGCCCTGGGCGTTGGGGCCGCCCGCGCCCGGCACCAGGTTCCCGGCGGCGTCCTGCATGCCCTGCGGCTTCATCTGCCCCATCTGCGCCTGGTTGGCCTGCTGCTGCTGCTGCTGCAGGTGGTGCATGTCCTGCTGGCCGAGCCCCGCCGGCATCTTGTTCTGCGCGAGGCCGCCCTGCAGCGCCCCGCTCTGCACCTCGTTCATCCCCGGCAGCTTGACGCCGCCCACGGGGATGCGGCCGCCCATCGTGCTCGTCGCGCCGGAGAGGGTCGTCGCCGCGGCCCCGGAGGTGGTTCTCGTGTCCTGGCCGTCCGCGGGACTCCGCAGCATGCCCGTGCCGTGCAGGTGGCCCTCCAGGGACGCCTGCGTGCGGAGCGGCCCTCTCCTCGGGTCGGCGGCGCCGGGGCCCAGCACCCCCGCGGCATCTGTCGGGCACAGCGCGTCGTCAGG